CCAGGCACAGGTGGCACATGAAGCGGTGCATGGGGGCGGAGCGAGCGCGGCGCCGGCCCAGCGCCCCCAGAACCAGCCCGTTGCTCAGCGTGGCCAGCAGGAAAACCACGGTCAAGACGGTGACCTCGGCGACGGCCAGGGCGGGGTCGCGGTCGTCCGGGAGGGAGGCGTTGGGAGCCAGGGAGGCGTTGGCCATGGCGGGCTGCAGGGAGAGGGAGGGGGTGAGGGGGGCAGCGTGCGGTGACAACGCGACACACGATGCAGCCACGAAGTGTCACGGAGCAGTGCAGAGCCGCACAACAACGCAGCGGAACAGCGTCGTTCCAGGCAGCCGCCGCACCAGCCAACGCCACGCGACGCACGCCTGCAAGCCAACAACGCGACACAACCCTGCAACTGACACACCCCTGCAAGGCAACAACGCGACAACCCTGCAGGCCAACAACGCGACACAACCCTGCAACTGACACACCCCTGCAAGGCAACAACGCGACGCACGCCTGCAGGCCAACAACGCGACACAACCCTGCACCTGACACACCTCTGCAAGCCAACAACGTGACACAACCCTGCAACTGACACACCCCTGCAAAGCAACAACACGACACAACCCTGCAACCTGACACACCTCTGCAAGCCAACAACGCGAGACAACCCTGCAACTGACACACCCCTGCAAGCCAACAACGCGACAACCCTGCAGGCCAACAACGCGACGCAACCCTGCAACCTGACACACCTCTGCAAGCCAACAACGCGACACAACCCTGCAACTGACACACCCCTGCAAGGCAACAACGCGACACAACCCTGCAATCTGACACACCTCTGCAAGGCAACAACGCGACACAACCCTGCAACTGACACACCCCTGCAAGGCAACAACGCGACACAACCCTGCAGGCCAACACACGCCTACAAGGCAACAACACGACACAACTCTGCAACTGACACACCCCTGCAAGGCAACAACGCGACACGATACACCCCTGCAACTAACACACCTCTGCAAGGCAACAACGCAACACAACCCTGCAACCTGACACACCTTTGCAAGCCAACAACACGACACAACCCTGCAACTGACACACCCCTGCAAGGCAACAACGCGACACAACCCTGCAAGCCAACAACGCGACACAACCCTGCAACTGACACACCCCTGCAAGGCAACAACGCGACAACCCTGCAGGCCAACAACGCGACACAACCCTGCAACCTGACACACCCCTGCAAGCCAACAATGCGACACAACCCTGCAAGGCAACAACCCGACACACGCCTGCAAGGCAACAACGCGACACAACCCTGCAAGGCAACAACCCGACACATGCCTGCAAGGCAACAACGTGACACAACCCTGCAGGCCAACAACGCGACACAACCCTGCAACCTGACACACCTCTGCAAGCCAACAACGCGACACAACCCTGCAACTGACACACCCCTACAAGGCAACAACGTGACAGAACCCCTGCAAGGCATCAATGCGACACAACCCTGCAACCCAACACAGCCATGCAACCCAACAACGCGTCACAACCCTGCAAGGCAACAACACGACAGCCATGCAACCCAACAACCCAACACACCCCTGCAAGCCACCAACGTGACACACCCCTGCAAACCAACAACGCGACACAACCCTGCAACTGACACACCCCTGCAAGCCAACAACCCAACACAATCCTGCAACCCAACACACCCCTGCAGTGAAACACGCGGGCTGAGGCACAAAGCAGTCGCACAATGCACCGCTCGACCCCAGCAAGCAACACAATCTGGGGAAGAGGCAACACAAGCGCCCAGTGTGGCCCGCACCACGCTGGTGCCCGGCGAGCGAACGCTGCAGGCTCAGGGCAGTGACACTGCAGACGCGACACACAATGCAGTGCAGGTCACCAGGCCAATGCAACACAACCACAACCAGCCCAAGGCCAGCGCGGGGCCCCCGTCACACCCTGCCGTGTCATCGCACAACGCGGCCAGGTCCCCTCCCGCTGGCCTGACAGGGTAACCTCACCCGGGCCGGCGCCTGGGGCTGTTCCCGCAGACTGGACCCTTCTAGGCGCAGCTGCAGGGGACCCTGGCCAGCGCCCCTGGGAGGGCCAGACACCCCCGTTCATGTGGGGAAACTGAGGCACAGGGAGGGCAAATAACTTGGCCATGGTCACCCAGTGAGTCAGTAATAGACCCAGGGAGAAAACCCAGGAGTCCAGGCTCCCAGTCCCCCCTCCCCCGCTCTAACCACTACCCCCTCTCCTCCCCCCTTCTAGCTCTGCACCCCTAGTTCTGGGAGGGGGCTGGTGGGTTGGAGCCGGGGGGGGGGGAGCCAGGACGCCTGGGTTCTCCCCAAACTGATAAATAGGGTCCCTGCACTTACCTTTTTGCAGGACACCCACCAGCTGCGGGTGGAGTTTTCTTTCAGGGTTCACCCCCTGTTGGTCTGGGACCCCCCCAGAATAAACCCAGCCACAGAGACTCCCCCTCCCGATCTCCTGGGTTCTTTTCCCAGCCCCTCCTTCCCTGGAGAGGTGGAAGCGAAAGCGCAGGATCCCCCAGAGATGAGAGCCGGGGCTCTGCTGAGAGACGGGCAGAGTAATGGGGGGGGGCGGCTGGGGCGGGGCTTAAAACCAGCAGGTGGCTGACCCCCCCCCCCTCCCGCGGGGTAAGAGAATGAAGGCAGGTCCTGGAGTCCAGCCAGAATAAATAAAGTTCTTGGTGGATGCCGACCCCCAGCAGGATGGGGGGGGGGGTGACCTGCCTTCCCCGAGCTGGGACAGAACCCAGGAGTCCGGGCTCCCAGCCCCGCCTGCTCTAACCACCAGCCCCCTCCTCCCCTCCCAG